AGCTCCACTGTGATATTTCTCTTCCGTCCTGATTTTGATTTATTGCTCCTTTTGTTAGTTAGAGACTAGATGTGTTGACGTCTTCCTTGATGTTGTTTATAAATTGTCACGTCTTTGTGCACCATGTCCCTCTTAGATATGGTTGTATCTTCTTATTTATGCTGATCTGATAAGCCAAGCTGTAAGTTTTTTTGGCTTTCAAAATTTAACAACAAACTACATCTACTACCTTTTGAATAGTGGTTTGTAAAACTTAAACAATCAAAATTAGATCACAAATAAGGAATTCTATATGGAAAAATTTTAAAAATCGAGATTTTTCGTTTAGTGTGAAAAATCTATGGGACCGATGGGATTCTTGTAGATAATAAAAAAATAACGATATTTTTATTAAACCTTATTGGTGCATTTTTCGCAGAGAAAAGTAGAAAAAACTGCTAAAATCTATTATTTTTTCAAAAGTTCATAACTAGGATGCTTCTCATCGCTTGCTTCCTATGCTTACAGAGCAGCGTTTGGAGCAGTTTTTTTTACATTTTTCGCCATACTTACATAAATCAAACCGAACGATCATATAAGCCGAATGACAACAAATATAATAGTAAAGGCGACAAGAGACAATTCCCCAATAGATAGATGCTCAGCAGGAAGACCACAAAAATGATGGAATAGCCATATTTAATCTGCGGAGCCATCCAAAATATCGGCAAAATATTCAAACTAAGATTTTGAAAAAAACTATTCGTCGAACAGCTTCCACCTTCTTGACCATTTTTAAACAATATATTATAAATAAACATTTATTATTATTTATTAAAAGAATTATCTTTTCAACTTTAAAAGGGCCTAAGTTATGAATTTTCCAAACAAGGTGATTTTGGCGGGTTTTTTTTTACTTTCTTTTGTGGAAAATGTACTGATAATGTTGTATAAAAAATTGTTTGTTTTTTATTTTCTACAAAAGTCCCATTGACAGTATACTCTAAACGAAAATTCGAGATTTTTTTATATTTTTCTATATATATAACTCAGTATGGTTTTTTATGTTCTAAGAACAACTTTTTAAAATATAATAGGGGTGGTTTGCTGCTGAATTTTGAATTTTAAAACAGGTTTAATTTTATCTATAAACTGCTATGATTAAAATATGGCTTTGACTAAGTGACGATTTTATCGGCTACGATTGGTGAATCTTCAAAATGTATAACAGTGCCGACTGTTTTAAATCTATTTTGGCCTCATATATACAACAGTAGAATAGGAGTGGTTGTTATATATTAATCAGTCCATAAAAGTACACTTTTGTACACAAAAAAACAATAAATAAAAAGGTAGTTAACTTAGAGTTAGTAAACATTTAAATCAAAATTAATAAGGCAATATTTCTATTGAAGATCGTTTTAACAAGTCCGGATCAGGTAAGCATTGTGTTGGTAAGTATAACCTTGAAAAGTGTAGAGATATGTATGTGCTATTAACACAGTTTTTAAATTATAATATTCTGAACTAATAAGAGAACGAAGTAAATGATGCTTCTAAGTTTTCACCATAATGGACCTCTAACTTCCATTTCCATTCTAACTAGGGCAGTTTGGGAGGTCAGCATATGTTCCATATTTTGTATGGCTCCACAGTCGTATTTATTATCTGTTTCGTGTCTTAAAACCCCAATTTATTTCATTTATTGTCACTCGATTAGTGGGTAGTTTGCAGTCCATGGTCATATCCAGGAATCTGCTACGAGATTTTAATCTGTTGTATTTGCTTTCGGCTCCATAGAGAGGATGTCGTTCATCAATTATCTGCTTGGTCCGTTCCATAAATTCGTTGGCCTTTGCAAAGCTGGCTGCTCTATGGAGTTTTTCTATTGGAGTGAGCTTCATACAACCTGTTATTAGTCTGCATCTTACATTTAGAATGACGTCAACTTTCCTGGCGTGAATCGATCTGGAACAAAGGGCAATCGTACTCTGCCGCAGAATATCAGAGCTTTCGGGCAGTAATTAGCAAAACGTTCCGGTTAGCTCCTTACCTACTATTGGCGAGTTTTCTGAGGATATTTTTTCTAACTAATACTTTGCCCTGTTTACTCGCACGGTGTCTTTATGCCATCGACCTGTCAAGCGTGACACCCAAGTAGAATGTTTTCTCCTTCTTCTTCTTCTGGTAGCACTACAACCCGGGGTGGGTCTTGGCTGACTGCACAACCTGCTTCCATCTCGAACGGTCGTCCATGATGTTTAAGTCAGTGGGTAGCCCCATTGTTCTCAAATCTGACCATATATTATCTCTCCATCGCATTCGTGGACATCCTAAGGACCTTCACCCTGTCGGGACTGCTTCCCAGATTAACTTGGTAAGGCGGTTATTAGGGAGCCTATGAACATGGCCAGCCCATCTTAGACGTTGGGATTTAATCTCTTGGACTACGTCGCTAGCACTATACATTTGTTTGACCTCGGCATTTGTTCTCATTCGATATTGGATGTTTTCCCCGTGTATTCGAAATTGCCTCCATCGAACTTGAAGCTTTATTTGCTTCGTAAAGCTTTATATGCTTAGCGGGTGTGGAGATTGAAGGAACTTACTTGCGTCTTATCTGGGTTCAGTTAGACTAAATTTTTTGTAGGAGTTTAAAAATTGGAATTAATTTTGTTGACTTTTTGTTTTAGATAGCTCACCTTTGATAAACTATTAAATCTCTCTTTTTTCACTAACCATATCAGCTTTCTTCCAATTCGGTGCGGTCCTATTTTCTTGTGGTTCCATATCTGTTCTCAGACGTTGATATTGGTTCCATAATGAAACTTTTTTTATCAGCAGGCACTCGTAACTGATCCTCCATGTAAATGTCTGTCCATTTTCTGAATTTTGCATAGCCAAGTCAGTTTCCGCTGCGTATTTAATATGACCAAAGTATTCTTTGAATTCTTTCAATTTCCTTTAATTCTTGCAATCCGGCCATTATTGTTGCTTGTAAGGTCCTGGTCTCGCAAGTCTTTGGTCCGCATTAGAAAGAATTTTCTCGTCGGAATGACTGTCAGCATTTAGTCAGTAAATTATTCCTTTCTTGATGATAAAAATATATTCCTTTTCATATTTTTATTCTGTATTATGTCTTGTGTTCTGATTTTGTAATATCGTTCGAAAAAAATTAAGAAACTAGTATATTTGAAACATTTTTTATTTTGTTGTTGTTTCGAAGTAATTAGTTCTCGTCCTAATGAGTTCTGTCTCTTTTTCTCTAGAAATACCAGTGGTAAATGTTATGTTTAACTCTGTTCTCTGCTGCTCTAAAAAGCTGCTTAGAGAGCTATTAATCTACTCTCTGAGATTGCGCGGTCGTGACATTCGTCTTCTTTCAACGACGCTTTTTTAAAACCTTTCCATGTATGATATTCTGGAAAAGTTGTAGTTGTGTTCATCTCATCATGTGTCCAAGGTATTGAAGTAGTGATGATAATCTATAAAGACTGATCAATCAAAAAGTAAAACAAAAGCCCAAAAAGAGGCAAATTAAACGTCACTGGCAAAATATTTAAGCAAGAAGCCAATTTTAACAATTTAGGAATATTGTTGGATAGCTATGGAGATACAGATGTGGAAATTGTCTAAGCAGTTAGTAAAACTAATAGAATAGCGAAAGATCTTAAGCTTAAGGGAAATGAGCAAAATAGACAAAGTCAGGGTTATCACAGCAAAAACACTATAAGACTTCTTCTTCTTCTAGTTCCATGACCGTTATCGATCGTTGGATATCATGTTGGCTACCATATTCGCTATCGTGACTTTATTGACAGCAGCTCTAAATAACGATGTAGTTGATTTTCCATACCATTGCCTTAGATTTTTCAGCCATGATGTTCTTCTTCTACCAGGACCACGATTACCTTGGATCTTTCCCTGAATGATCAGATGTAAAAGATCATATTTTTCAGGGTGTCTCATAATATGACCGAAGTATTCCAGCTTGCGTTTCTTTATTATATTGACCAGTTGTGTTGTTTGGTTCAGCCGTCTAAGGACCTCCTCATTTCTAACTCTGTCGACCCAGTTTATTTTCAGTAGTCGTCTGTATACCCACATCTCAAAGGCTGTCAAGCGTTTAAGCATAGCCTCAGTTAGGGTCCACGCTTCTACTCCATACAGTAGGACAGGAAAGATGTAGCAAGATATCATTCGAACTCTAAGGTCAATGCTAAGATATACAGATAGGTCAACTATAAGACAGATAATGAAATAAAGACCACCGAGAAAGGTATTTCCCAACAGGAAGTCGATCAGTAGGAAGACCACGTACTGGAGGCACATTAAAAAACAGATAGAGTCATGTCTATATAAAAAGAACAAGAAGAAGAAGAGAAATGTTTTCGAGAACATTGAAGTTGGAATACGAAACAGAAGAAAGGAGTAGAACAGTCACACACGAACTGGAATAGACTCATGTCACGAAGATGAAAAAGGACTTATCAGGGTTATGTAAGGCAATATCATATTAAATAATATTGGGCTTCCCGCAGCCAAAAATATCTGAAAATCTTAAAAAGAATTGAGGTTTTTTGTCTATCCTTAACTTAAACTTAAAAGCATCTTTTACGCAGTTTTAAATATTTTTTAACGATTTTTGTAGAATTTTTAGTCCGTTTCCATATGAGTTCAGAAAGTTGTCCATTATTTTCACAAGCAATAATGTGTCGTCTACATCAAACATTATTTTCAATAATTTTGGTGAACAGCTTATTTTAATAATTTTCGTAGATATTTATTTAGTAGTAAATTAATCTTGAATCATAAACTCTTGTTTTGCTTTACTAAAAGAGTCTAGAATTAAAAGTACATGTTTTCAATAGTTTAGTTTAACTGAAGCAGATGTTGCTGACATGTGGTCATTATGTAAAAACGTGTTTTTAACACTAGGCTCTTAAATTATTCTAGAATAGCAAAGTATCAAATTTATAATCGTATTGAGTGGCGAACTAAATTTATACTTTTTTTACCAGGTCAGAGAACGTTCCCAGCGATCAGTGCCCATGGGCAGCCTACCAAGAACATCGAAATCGTCTCTCTCAGCAGGAACCCCAGACTCTCTCTCAGATAACGAAAGTTCTACATTCCGTACGCCCAGGAAGCCATCCTACAGGTCGACGTTAACTCCAGGCGGTTCCAGAAGTAATTCTAGGCCTCAATCCAGGACTGGAAGCAGGCCGGGCAGCAAACCGCCGTCTAGGCATGGATCGAACCTCTCTTTGGATAGCACAGGTAATTAAAATCATTAAAAAAAATTACTATACCAACTAAAAGTATAGGAACTAAAAAACTAAATCTAAAATATACTAGTAAAAAATAAAAAAATACGTGACTTCTGTATGACTAAATCGCACAACCTAATGTACTCAAAAATTAGAAATCGTACTCTTAATAATGGTACTGCAAATAAAATTTATATTCTTTGATGGAACTTTGTCTGATCTCCACCGATTATTGGGAGAAAGTTTATTAAATTCCTTTCACCTGCTATTTCCCCTAAGAAAGAGAAAATACACTACAATTATTATTTTATACTTACTTAATTTAAATCGTCATTGGGTAGAGGACACAATTTACTAATAGAGCACTTGAAGACTCCATCTTTAGTTATCACTGAGGCAATTCTTACTCCTCTATTTTTTTCCGGGAAAGACCTCATTCACTCTTGCTAGTACCCAATAAAGGGGAGGAGTGTTATCTTCAATCAACAAGACGAGATCATTGGGTTCTAGGTTCTTATGCGGAAAAAACCATTTAGGGCGATTTAGAAGTATGTTCAAATAGTCGATAGACCATTTTTTCCAAAACACTTGTTGCGAGTTTGGACAAATGTTGCCATAAATTTTATCTGTTTTCATGAATGTGGATCACATCTTTTTTAGGGAATGAGTTGAGAGATTGTCCAATCAAGAAGTGTCCAGGAGTAAGATAAGTAAAATCAGAGGGGTCATTTGAAATGGAGCAAAGAGGTCGGGAATTGAGCACAGAACTCCTACTTGAACGAGAACTATGGTGAATTCTTCGAAAGTAAGCTTTAGATTGCCCAGGAGCCTACGCATATGATGCTTTGCGCTCTTTATAGCACTTTCCCAAATACCACCATGGTGAGGGGTTATGGTTTTTTACTATAGTGGCTCGAGGAACTATAGCTGGTTACGAGCACTAAGAAAGTTCGTAGCGTTGTCACTGAATATTGTCTGAGGGATACCTCTACGGCTAATAAAGCGTTTTAGAGCGAGAAGAAACGTTACTGTAGAGAGGCCGAAAACGTCTTCATCATTAACAGCTGGAGTCGACAAGAAAAAGAACAGAGCAATATACGATTTTATTAAAGGAGCCTTGCGAAGGACCGCCAGAATCTAATCCGACATGAGCGAACACTCGAGAGGAGTTTAAACGTTCTTTTGGTAAATCTGCCATAGTCTGGGTAGCGGGTTTGGCACAAAACTTGAAACAAACCATACATTGATGAATAACCTTTTTGACTTCTCGTAGTCCATTTAAAGGCCAATATTTGTGAAGAATTTGTGACAGAGTCTGACATGTTCTCTGTGGAGAATGAGACGAACTATACAATTTTTTGAGGGGAGGAGAAGAGGGTATTTTTGATCAAAGGTATCATCTGAGTTTATAAGGCGGCCTGCCACTCGGAGCATTTCATTCTCGTCCAAAAAGGGATTTAGGGGTAAAAGACATTAGATAGAGTTTTACCTTTCTTAAGCTCAGAAATCTCACTCGAGAAGTTGGAATACTGGAGCAACTTAATAATCCTATGTTCAGCGTTTTGAAGTTTGCTGACTTCAAGGATATCAGTTAACTTGCGGAAAAGCGGTTTAGCATTGTTAACAAATATAAACATACAGGCCAAAGTCCTTACAAACTTTGAAAAATTGGAGAACCTATCAGAAAGTGAGGTAAAAAAATCTATGTCATCTTTTCGAGCGTGAAGAATGACTTTCCTTTATTCAGGCAATTAGGAGGTATAACTCTTTGGGATTTCAATAAATCCAACCGAAGTTGATTTAAAATTGGAAGTTCATGAAACCATAAGGAAGAAAATGAGAAAAGGCAGCAAATATTTGATTTCACGCAAACAAATCCTATGTATCTCTTGATACGTATTTCGACCTAATAGGTCTCGTCAGAAGAGCTATTCATAGGGTTTCTCAACGTGAAAAATCAATATTTTCTGCCTTTTAAGAAGCAACAATACCATGGCTTCGATACGGACGCAGTGGCGACATCTAATTAAACAATCGTAAAATAGTTTTCGAAACACAATTCAGATTTCTGCTTTATAATCTGAGCCTTCTAAGAATTGCAAGGCAAACAGACGTTGATAAAAGATGTTAAAAGAAACGCAAGAAACACAATTCGCTAAGGATTTCTGCTTAGTTGTAAAAGACATGTCGTGGAATGCAAATTTTAGATTCCCCATGTCTCTTTTAACATATTTTATCAACGTCTGTTTGCCTTGCAATTCTTAGAAGGTTCAGATTATAAAGCAGAAATCTGAATTGTGTTTCGAAAACTATTTTACGATTGTTTAATTAGATGTCGCTACTGCGTCCGTATCGAAGCCATGTTATTGTTGCTTCTTAAAAGGCAGAAAATATTGATTTTTCACGTTGAGAAACCCTATGAATAGCTCTTCTGACGAGACCTATTAGGTCGAAATACGTATCAAGAGATACATAGGATTTGTTTGCGTGAAATCAAATATTTGCTGCCTTTTCTCATTTTATTCGGATTTACTCTGTGGGAGTACAAGAAACACAATTCGCTAAGGATTTCTGCTTAGTTGTAAAAGACATGTCGTGGAATGCAAATTTTAGATTCCCCATGTCTCTTTTAACATCTTCTATCAACGTCTGTTTGCCTTGCAATTCTTAGAAGGCTCAGATTATAAAGCAGAAATCTGAATTGTGTTTCGAAAACTATTTTACGATTGTTTAATTAGATGTCGCTACTGCGTCCGTATCGAAGCCATGTTATTGTTGCTTCTTAAAAGGCAGAAAATATTGATTTTTCACGTTGAGAAACCCTATGAATAGCTCTTCTGACGAGACCTATTATGTCGAAATACGTATCAAGAGATACATAGGATTTGTTTGCGTGAAATCAGATATTTGCTGCCTTTTCTCATTTTATTCGGATTTACTCTGTGGGAGTACAAGAAACACAATTCGCTAAGAATTTCTGCTTAGTTGTAAAAGACATGTCGTGGAATGCAAATTTTAGATTCCCCATGTCTCTTTTAACATCTTTTATCAACGTCTGTTTGCCTTGCAATTCTTAGAAGGCTCAGATTATAAAGCAGAAATCTGAATTGTGTTTCGAAAACTATTTTACCATAAGGAAGAGTTTATTATTTCAGGGGGTAGCATTCTTTGGGAGAGTTTGTCGCCAGGATTCTCTTTTAATCGTACGTGCCTCCAGTGCGCATTAGGAGAATTGTCTAAAATGTATGCGACCCTATTTGCTACAAATTGGGTCCAACGAGACGGATGTGAACGAGGTCAAGCGAGAACAATTTCTGAATCCGACCACATATTTATAGCATCTAATTGAGATAATTTTTTTAACGATATTAGCAATCTTTGCTGTGAGTTTACTACACAATAGCGCACCCATGAGTTCCAATCTTGGAAGGGTCAAGGGTTTTAGCGGAGCAACGCGACTCTTAGATGCTAGAAGGGAACAAGATACCTGTTCTGATTTATAGGTCACACTCCATAAGCCTTTAAACTTGCAGCCGAGAATGAGTGAATCTCAACACCAGTGATTTCTTGACTTAAAAGAAGACATCTAGGTATACTTAAGTCCTTAAAATGAGAGAGACTGCTAATAAAACTTAGCCATTCATGTAACGTGTCTGCGTCAATGTCGTCGTTCCAAAAATTTGATCGTAACATTTCTTTTATAACTTTGAGCAAAGGTAATTAGATTTTGAGAGGCGTGCATAGTTATGTTGAAGTGGTGATGAGCTGATAGAGTTCAACAAAAATGTTGACCTTTATTGGCTCCAGAAAAGGAGATCGCCAGTGAAACCCTGTAGAAGCATACTTCTTTTTATCGATTAAATTAACAATAAAATGACAAATCTTACCACATGAAATGTAGGTTTCACCACAAAACTGTATATTAAATCGACATCTGAAGACATTCCGATGGAAAGCTAAGAATTTAGTTCCAAATTGGGTTGTAACATTTTTTTTATAACTTCGGGCAAAGCTATTTACATCGGCGTAGCTAGCCTCAGTTTTCAAGGGGGGCCTGGGCCCCAGTGTATGGTTGATTAAAAATTTAATTTTTTTTATTTGCCGTGCAATGAAAAAATAAATAAAAGAAATGCGTTATAATAGTATACTGCTTGTATGTTTTTTAATATACCTAATACATAATATAATATATACACTGCGATAAATATTTATAAAAACAAAATATTAACAAAATATTACTTACAAGAGAAACTTCCTACTCTGTTCACTAAAAGAATTTACAACACTCTCTAAGTCTATGTCTACATCCTTTTCTATATACAACAAAGCCAAATCTGAATGTCTATCTTGAGTCATTGTCGTTCTTAACCAGTTAAAAATCCGCCTCATTGCAGAAAAAGACCTCTCGCACGTTGCGCTTGAAAAAGGCAAAATAATCGATACTTTAAAAAGTTGGTAAAGGTTGGGATATGTTTTTTCTGAATCAATTAAGTTTTTTTATATATATTCATAACAAACAGTTTCGTTAGATTGTAAAATACAATTTTTTAAAACGGTCATTTCTGCACTTAAGGCAAAAGTGTTGATATTTAAAATTTTGCGATATTGTTCAATGAATTTCTCTGAACCCTCAAAATCTAACTGAAAAAAATGACCTACTGAATTGGCAAGCGCCATACTTTTTGGTGAGAACCTTTTGTTCAGAAATTATCTTACAGTATCAATAATCCGGTAAAAAATGTTTGCTCTCCAATACTCAATGACTCCTACGTTAGCTCTGGAGCATCTGGCGTCTATCGAACCCAATCCTACGGTTGTTTCAGTGACGAAGTCAACGAGCTTGCTACTGGCTTGCTTTTTTCTTTTGGCTGACGAAATTTCCAATGAAATTTGGTATTCTGTGGCAAAGTTCGATATATTTGTATAAAGATGGGTATAATATTGTTCATTTATCATTCCATCTAACGAAGTCATAACACTTTTAATAACCTTAACTGCTTTCCCCAGAGTTGCACCTTTCTCCTGGAGACTCTTTGATAATATATTTAAAATGTTTAACACCTCATCCAATACAAAAAGATGAATTATAAATGATGGTTGTTTAATGCTGGATAATATCCCAACTGCTGTAATTGACTGTTTATTATTTGTATGAGCAACTTCGTTTTCCAGTGTTGTGAAGATTCCCTCGAAACATGTTTTAACAGCGTGGCAAGTCGTACATCGACACACCCAACGAGTATCTGACAGAGTTTTCTACTCCCTGGGAACAATATTCATGTCCTTCAATATTTGTTTGTATTTTTTATGGTTTTGAGGATCTGAAAAATGTTCGTAAAGTGCTTCCAAAGTACAAAAAAATGTCGATATTGAGGGAACATTTTTACAGGAGTCTACCAGAGCCAAGTTAAGTCTATGAGCTAAGCTATGTTTGAAGACCACTTGTATTGCCTGACATCACCGCAGCTCCGTCATAGGATTGCCCTACCATCTGCAAGTCGCTAAGATTAAGCTCTTCCAATTTTTTGTAGATTAAAATGAATAAATCCGTAGCCGATCTATCTTCTGAACAATCAAGAAATGCAAGGAATCTTTCACGAATTTCTAAATCTTTCGATGCATAGCGAACACATAAAGACAATTGTTCCTTTTTGAAAGAACGAGCTTCATCACACATGATTGAAAAAGTTCCGGATTGTCTAATGTCATCAAGTATATTTCTTAAAGACGCCCGTGACAAGAGGGCAATAATTTCATTTTGCATTCATGTGGACTGGTATAGTTTTTATAGGAATTATGTAGAATGTCAAAGTCCTTGTTATACTTTGCTATTAGGCCACATATTTCCTTAAAGTTTCCTTTATTTAATGAACTTTCGCTTTCGTCATGACCTCTGAAAGCCATGCCTTGACGAGCCATTGTTAAGGTTATATCTGCCAACATTCTCAAGTAATTTCTGTTTTTCTCTATCTGGGTGCTGCTTGTGAAAGATGAGATAAAACATTTCCGCTTTTTATTGTCTTTTATTATTATGCCATGTACTGAAACTTTCAATGTGATGCAAAGATGCACCATGTTTTTTTAATTTTTCGCCAGTTTTTTTCCAGTTGCGGAATCCCACTATTCTAAAAGCTTCTTCATCCATAGCAGCTCCAAAATGACGACAAGCATAGCACGAAATGGAATCTGTTTTGACGCTGTATTCCAACCAATCAAAATTTTTATAATAGTTTGCGCTGAACGACCTTTTTTTATTTCCAAACATAGTTTGTGGAAATCTTTTAAGAATAGGTTGTGATACGTTTTCACCTAGTTGGCCCAAGTCAGAAGCGTCTATTTTCACATGGTGCGTGGTTGATTTTGGTTGAATATTCTGATCCAGATCCTTGCTTGTACCGGGCTGCTGTTCAGGCTGACTATTCTTATCTTCTTCCAGTGTAGTTGGTTGTATAGACGGTAAAGATAGTGAAGACGTTTGTCTTTTGAAAAATTTTGTTATGTCCATTACCTGCAACAAAACGAAATTGAAAGACTAAAGATAATTGCTTACAAAATTTCGTTCAATTTGAGTTGATAGTTTTTGAGTTATTCGCATTTGGAAACACCGACAGACAGACAGACAGGGGAACAAAAAACGTTCAGAATCGTCTGAAACGCAAAGATCTATAAAAAAATTTGGAATGGAACATTTTTTTCCCAATTTTAAAACGATCACATACTCCTCCATACTATTGTATGTACATAATATGGTGGAGTCAAAAAGTTTAAAATCATCGAAATGAAATACAGTCCAAGAGTCTGAGTAGATACAATCTAATTTTTGATAGTGTTGATGGGTTGGCAACACCTTTTACAATCATTAATGAAAAAGGCAAACTGACACATAACCTTGACGAAAAAAGCTATAGATACTGAATAAATTGTTAAAAATAAGCGGTAAAAACAATAAAGTAAACTTACTAATTACTACACTTACTTGTTACTTCTGTAGTAATACGCCAACAATTCTTAAATACAGTTCACTAATACTTCTCTATTGTGTTACTACTCTATTCTATTATCGCTCGCCGTTTTATTGTTTGCTGTACACCACGCTGTACACTGTCAAGCCACGTCAAAGTATCTAACTGAAACTGACTGATCTTTGTACCTTGAACCCGTTTTGGTGAAACACGAAACGCACAGTATTGTAGTCCGATAGCTATAGTATAGGTGGTTGGTACGTTAATTTTTTTATTGTTTCTTGTTTACATTGTATTTGCAATTTTTTCTATTAGAATATTTCAAGGGGGCCGCAGGGCCATCAGGGGGGGGCCTGGCCCCCCCTGTCCCCCTCCTAGCTACGCCAGTGGCTATTTACATTTTGAGAAGGGTGTATAGTTATGTTCGAAGTTGTGGTTTGGTCCTACGAGAAAATCTTAACACTTTTAGCTTTAATTACATCTATAGCTAATTTATTACGAAAAGGGGAACTTAATATTAGTATTGTATACTTAACGTATTTAATGCGATAAAAAATTGTAGACAGAGGGCTAACGTGAAAGTACAAAACCGTCAAAAGTTTTAAATTTAAGAAAATTGAAAATGTTACTAGAGGGGGGGTTAGTGACAGTTTACAATAATATGCATAATTTGTTTTACTGTATAATTTATTTTAATATTACTTCTTCGTAGATGATACTACTCCATCGAGAATACCGAGAAGAACACCAACATCAGGAAGAAGCTCAGCTCTTTCGACGACTAAAAGCATCAACGGTTCTGGCTCTAGGCCACGCACACCAAGCGGTTTGATATCTCCTGCTAGTCCCGTTGGAAGGTGAGTTTGTTCAAATTTTACTCTATTAATATTTGAATAGTAGAATAACTGAAACATTAAAAGTATTTACAATTTAATAAAGTGTTTATGCTGAAAATAAGAGTTTTCCGATTTTAAAAATATATACAACAATCACTTTAGTGAATAAAAGTCATTGAACCATATTATTTGAGAATGAGAATACATATATGATTACTTCTTGCTTGTTTTACCCTCCGTCAGACGTTTGAGGACCTTTATCCTCTTCTGGTTAACCTTTCTACTCATGTATGGCCATATTTATCACAGATAAAAAATGGTGGTGTACCTCCGGCCCCCTTTTTTAAACCACTGGTAATAGGTAAATTTTTCGTGGTACGTTTTCCCACTTCAACCTTTCAGTCGTTGAATATTCAATACATAGTTTAGTTTAATTAATAATTGTACTTGGTACCTTCATAATTTCCATTGCCATCCATACACAATACCGTAGGACGCTGCCATAAGCTTGTCCAAAATTTATAGACAACTGATGTATGTGGGGCTATTGGATCTCAACATAGATTTGATAGTTTATTGTATGTTGTGTTCAGTTGCGTGACACCTCTCTAATTCTTACAAACTGCTTTTGTTCAATAGTGCATATATTTCTATTTTCATTCTTCTTCTTCAAGTGCCATCTACGTTCCGAAGGTTGGCGGTCATCAGGGCTATACGTATTTTCGAAACTGCTGACCGAAACAATTCGTTGTTGCTAAAGCTATACCATTCCCGTAAATTATTTAGCCAGGAGTTTCGTCTTCTTTCTATGGACCTTTTTCCTTCCTTCCTATTTTCATTATTATCTTATTACAAGCTTCTCTCTTTTTCTTTTCCTTGCCTTCGCTCTGTGTATGTAGATTTGCTGGCCGTTTTCATTTCTCGGGTTCGTAACCTATTCAATCTGGTCTTGTTCTTAGTATCTTGCGCCAGTTGGTAATCCTTGTTATTCCAGTGTTTTCTGCATCCGTTTTGTATTTGTATGTTGTTTTTGTTTTTGTTGTTAGCCATCTAATTTATTGGTATATTCTATGCTTTTAGATCAGTACATTCCATGTTCCTAAAATCGTCGAGCATGTCCTTTTGCTTTATAACTTCTCCTTTTTGTTATGGTGTTGTGTAATTAACCCAACGTCTAACCCACTATTCTTTGTAGGATAATATCTCCCTTCTTAGTCAGTCCTGACCCCACCTTCCACTAGGGTTGTTTACCCAATCTCTGGTGAGGTTGCTCAGTTGCCCAAAATAGGGAATGCCTAGGAATAGGTATTGATGCTAGCTGGATATGGCGTCATATATAGATCTTCATTATCTCTTTACACACCCGTGGCAGATTCAGCTTAAATAAAATAAGTATCTTATGAAATAGATAATAATACGTGATTTGAAGCGTAGTATTGACCTTGTTATCTTATTTGTATATCTAGATCAAACAGATCCTACCCTGCTATACCTTTAAATAGTACTAGCAGCATAAAGAGAGGGTTATTATTTAAAAAATGATATCTTTAAAACTGGAAAACATTTATTTTGTGCGAATAAAGTACTTATATTGATATATTTATAAAACTAATGCAGGAAACCAATTGGAATATTAATTTTTATTTTTACTAATTTGAAATATCATGTGCATTGCATCACCATTTTCGTAGGTGGTAGAAATAACGAAATGATGTTCCACAATAAATTATATAGATTAAAATTATCTACAATTAATAAATATCACAAAAGTGGATTTTTATATGATTATATTTATATACTTACTTACAATTTCATATTATTCAGTAACTTATGGTGTTTTTTTTTTATTCTATGTTGTTTCTGCTTTTCTTTTGTATAATTTTTTATTGTGGAATAATCATCGAATGACTTAAAAGTGACTAATTTGGGCATGTTGTCCTATAACATTATTAGATCGTCGGGGATACCCAGAGCATCGAGCATACCCACTTTAACAGGAATATCCACGCCAAGGTAAAAAGCTCTTCGACGTGCACGCTTTAAAATCAAAATTAATGCGGTGTGGGGCCTACATTTTAAGCTAAATATTGTAGTGTGTTATATTTGTGCAAATATTGGTAGAATGAAATACCTAGTCTTCTCCACAATGTGCTTTACCGGCAAAGCAATATCTTTTGAGATTGTAAGTACCTTATTTTACCAAAAACAATCTCTGATGATAATAATAATGTTACTTAAGTAATGATTACACTGTAATAACATTTCGATTGAATTCTTACTGTTCAATCCCCTCACTCCTGCGGTTTTTCAATATTATATATCAAGGAAGCTATGGCATAGTTGCTACTTTTAAATTCAAAGCTTTAAGTAAAAACATTAAAGAGGTGATATTTACTTTATAGCTATTCCAAATTGCAATTCCTATATTCAGTACATTGAAAATAGCTTCCAACATAATACGATGATATATAGAGCTGATAGAAATATTTGTTTCCAACCCATTTTCAGCATTTTCCAACTACCAAACTAAAAGTCGAAGTGTTATGTACAGTTCCTCATTTATTTATTTATTTAATAATTTGGTGTTAATCTCATTAGGAATTGTAGTCAGACTGATCTGTCTAATACATGTCGAATTATTCTACCAATATTTGCTATATTGTTTCGTCCATAAATGCAGCTTTTTTCTGGTTAAAGTTTTTTATGGTGAAGGGTAAAATTACAAAGGGATAAAAGTTATATATAAAGAACTTCTTGCAGACGAAAAAGCCCTGAGCCATCAGCTTATTCTTTCAGGCTGAAAAGTCGTAGTCCACGGAACGATTCAAAATAGTAAGGAACCGACAAATTTCAATTTTTTAGGTGATCAGGTGGTTAACCAAATTATTAAAAAACGTTTAATAAATAACTATATAATACAAGTATTTTGAAAAATATATTAACATATTTTTGATCTGAAAGATGAATTCAACTTATAGTTTAACAAATTAATAATTTTAGTTTAATCTTAAATCTAAAAAAAAATTAATTAACCACCTAATAAAAAATAATAAATAAATTAATTCAATAATTGTAGTAAGTATACTAAAATTACTTATCGAATTTTATTTAGCTTATCGAATAAAAATTCCGAATTCTATTTACACAGATGAATATCACTGGTAAGTTTCAAATAATCTAAATATCCATGGTACCTAGATACTTTATAGAAAGTTTCAATTACCTAAGTAAGTGATCATAGGGACCATAGTGATCATAGTGACCAGGGAGGCACTTTTTGCGCTTAACGTCCTATTACAAAAATGCCGTGACCAAAGAAAAGATGTATGTGGACTTCGAAAAGGCATTCAATAAAGTACAGCATGTGAAATTAATGCAAATACTGAAAAATCTGAAAAATATCGGCATAGATGACAAAGATATTCGTGTCATTAAAAATTGGTACTAGAATCAAACTGCTATCGTAAAAATTGGAGATAACTACACCGATGAAATCTCTATACAACGAGGAGTCCGACAAGGTTGCATTTTGTCGCCAACATTGTTCAATGTTTACTCGGACCAGTTATTTAAAAAGGCACTTGAGAGACAACCATATGGAATAAAATGGAAATACTTAATGTGATTAGATATGCAGACGATACAGTAATTCTATCAGATAATATTGAAGGTCTTCAAATTCCGCTTGATCGTATTCACCAGGTAGGAGACGAAATGGGCATTAAAATAAACTCAAATAAAACCAAATTTTTAGTGTTTAGTCGTGACCCACAACTCAATGCAAAGCTCAAATTAAGCGGAGTCCAAGTTGAAAAAGTTCACAAAATGACATATTTGGGAACTGTGATAACGTACCAACTAGATTCAGACATAGAAATAAAACGTAGAATAGCAATGACTAAAACTACTTTTATGAAAATGAAGTAATTTCTTTGCAATAACCGTCTCAGTTTAGAACTAAAACAAAGAATGGGTAAGTGGTGTGTTTGGTCCGTACTTTTGTATAGTGCAGAAGTGTGGACGCTAAAAGTATTGATCATGAGCAAAATTGAAGCAGTGGAAATGTGGGTTCATAGACGAATGCTGAAGATACCTTGGATAGCAAGGAAAACTAATCAAGAAGTACTAAGGAGCGTTAACAAAGATAGAGAAGTGCTAAAGACTGTTAAACATCGAAAAATGTCTTACCTGGGACATATAGTAAGGGTAAGTCGATATAAAATATTCCAACTGATCCTTTAGGGCAAAATAGGGGGCCGTAGATGTGTAGGAAGAAAACAAGTTTCTTGGTTAAAAAACATTCGTGAATGGACTCAGATAATAAATGCAGGACAATTATTCCATATTGCAGAAGATCGAGAAGCCTTATGTTTCACGAAGCATTTCAATTAAAATACTTAAGCCACGGAGGCTCTTGGCTTTTAACTTCTTTAAATTCTATAGGGATACGCCCTATGAATGATATCAAAAATGGTACCAAGATATAGGCTTAACATGTATTATACTCAAAGCTTACTTGGAATCAGCAGTTGGAATGAATAACCAATAGAGCAGTGATTACTTTAATGATAGCCAGGCGCATTTATGGAAAAATATGGAATTTAAAACTAGATATGATGTATCGAATTTATAACATGGTGGTAAAACCATCAATTACATATGCATCATTGGTATGTCGGTCAAAGTTACAACAAAAAAGTGTCATCCTCAAAGTAACTAAGGTGCAAAGGCTTCTTTGCCTTTAATTGCAGGAACTCTGATGGGCACACCAATAGCGGCTTTGAAGGCCCTATTGGACTTCCCTTCTTTATACATTGCTGTAAGAGGTGAGCCGAGAATGAGATAATATAACAGACTGATAGAAAACGTTTGGATGAGGACATTAGTAAAATCATAAATAAAATCATAGCTTGTGGATGATATGACCATATGGTAACCACATATTCGCTTTAAGTAACTTTCCAAGTGAATATTGGCCGACTGAGGGGACAGAGGAAACACAACCTAATTGATTAATATATGTTCATATAATCAAGTGGTTATGATGGTTTTTCGAAACCGTAAGGTGGACTCTAGGCTTGTGAGGTAATGCCAAGGAGAATTTAATCAACTGGTAAACATAACAGTGTCATACTGGCATGGGTACCAGATCAGGAAATACATGGCAATGGAAGTGCTAATGAACTTGCCAGAAGGAAATCACCTACAAAATACTTTAGTCCAAAGACGACTGTAGGAGTATCGTCTAAATAGGAAAGAAGCCTTTATCTGAACACATAATATCTCTTACTGGGAAACTACCCACGACAAAATATTTATATGCCCAATGAAGTATGTTAAGTAATTGTAACATTCTTTGGAGATTGTCTTCATTCTCCTCTCTCAGAACTGCGTCATGTGCTTAGCATACTATCATTCTTTGTTTAAATATACGTCCATAAGTCTTCGAACAACGGTCTCGGTTTTGGATATTTTCTTTTCAATCATATTCTTCTGTCCTTTATATATTTCTATGTTTAAGACAACCATCTGGGCTTCAAAGTTCTTTAAAACGTAATGCCGTATTTGACTCATCTTAAGAGAGACCGAAAATTCTCGGTGCATATATTTAATATTTTATATTTTCTGTAATTTATCAACATTTGCATTAGCAGATCTTATTATGTGCTGAAACGCATAGTAAAATTTGTTTAAATCTTGCACCTAGTCATACTAATAGTAAATATTGGATAATAGTTTAATTGCTGATAGCTAAAAAGTCTTCCTACAATATTATTTTTTATTTGCTCACTTAGTAAACCTAGTAATATAAACATCTCTCTTTTTTCCCGTTTGCAAGACCTACCTTTGGAGTGTCGTTTTTTTAGCCCGATATTTAATAAATAAAAAATAATATCTACATAAAAACTTGTACAATCGATAAAAAGAGATATAATTTCGTCATCCAATAGCTTGGTAAAAATCTCATACATGCATACATTGGTTACTCCCCTGAATAGTTCAATTAAACTGATTATTCTACTCATATTTAAGATTCTGACTGTTTGAATTATCGATATCAGAATCAGAAATATTATCACCCCAATGGCTGCCTGGATTATAACTGTCTCCACTAACTGATTATGATTCCTCAACTGTGTTTGCGTCATATATTGCGCCCTTAATAGGGGCCGCTCTTCTCTTAAATCCTTTATCTTAAATAAACTTTTATTTATTTAATCTATATTTTTTCAGTTAAAGTAAACTTACTTTAACGTACCCCACAGAATAAAATCTTATTAAAGAACATTACCATTGGTCTATCGGAATAACTATTTTAGTTCTAAATCACTGTTTAGTTATGCTTCTTTTATCTTTGTCCCCTCAATTACGTTTATTGTTTTGTTTGCTTTTTCGGTTACATAAATATGCGCTCATTTTTAATCCTTACTTCATCTATTGTATCTACTATGATTTTCACATCTCATAAGATAAATTCATTAATTATTTGTTTTATCTACTTTGGTTATTATTCGATAAGCAAAATAAAACTAAAGTTTTTAGACATAATTTTGAGGTTATTTTAGCGGATTTTTTAGGAACGAAATAATTTGATTTTTAAAAATATTTATGCTTTGAATACAATTTGATATTCATGGATTAGACTCTAATATATAATATAGTAATTATTATTTAAATATACCCTTTAAACCGTGGAAAGGTTTTTCAATTAATAAAAATCGTTATACACAATTTGGACTTTTCAGTCTTTTAAAAGTTTTAATAAAATTTATTTTTATCGATTAAAACATTATTTTAACAAACTGTACTCGTTATAAAAGGTCTCGCATACCGATATTTAAAGGAAAAAGTGAAGAATTTGACCCCGATTCGCCCTCTACTTCAAGTTCTTGCTCCATGACATTTTCTTCTGGGTAATTGATAGTTTTTAACAGCATGTTTTTGTGTTTCGTGTATTGAATTATTAATAATATTTATGTTAAATAACAAGAAAATTTACAATAATTTGATAC